GGGGTACTCGCCACCGCGCAACACCGGGGTGCCCACTTTCCGGGCTGAACCCGCCCTGCCGGTGACCGCGGCGTGACCTTGCGGAAGCCTCTAAGAGCCTGCTGTTGGCCGTCGCCAACACAAAACAAGGACGGGGTGGAAGGCCTGGAAATGAAGAACGGAAATTGCCGTTATTTATGCCAGACACGGACTTCTACAAACTAGTACCGAGAGAAGATACGGCCAACGTGTGATAACAGCTTCCAATACGGACCAAGGTCCACACGCAGCAGCGGGGGGCCGGGGCTTTCCACCGGGGATGAGCGGAAGGCAGGACGTTTGGGAAAGCGCCGGTCTCCTCGGCGGGGTCCTGTGGGCGGGGGGTGCGGGGGGGACGGGAGGCTTTCAGACCTTTACGGGGAAGGTGGAAGGTTACCGAACCTATGAGGGTCTTCGCTGAATGGAACGGCAAGGCGGCCTCCTTCACGGACAGGAAGACTCGGAACTTAAATGACCCCACGCCTCTCTGCTCATTTCCTAATGGGATTTGTTACCACCGAGTTTTGCGAATTCTTTATTTCAGATGCAAGTCCTTTGTCGCATGTGTGGTTCGCAGAGGTTCTCTCCCGCAGTTTGCCTTTTCACCCTCTTACCAGGGTCTTTCACAGATGAAAATTTTCCACTCTGACAAGGTCCAGTTTCACAGGTTTTCCTTTTATGGATTGTGCTTTTGGTGTCAAGTCTAAGAGCTCTGCCTAACCCTGAATCCCAGCGGTTTTTTTCAAGTGTGGTACTTCCACACTTGACACTTGAGTCTGTAGCACATCGGAAGGTAACTGTGGGTCGAGGTGTGAGGCTTAGGGGTTCAGAGCTGTGCTGTGGCTGTCCGACCCCTGGGCATCGACGGCCCCGGCAGGAGGCTGACCTCTAGGACAGCCCCACCACGCCCCTCCGAGGCGTCCACTGTGTCATCCCCTCCTTGCGGGTGGGCTGCTCTCTAACCGAAGTGACAGGCTGTTTCTTCCGAAGTCAGGTACGAGGGACTGTGACAGCATCGTGCTGGCTCTGGCGGGGCCAGCTGCCACGTGGGGAAGCCCATCCGGTGGGAACGGAGGGCAGCCTCTGGCCAACAGCCCGTGAAGAACCGAGCCGCGCCCACCGCCCCCCGGGTGAGCCCGCCTGTCCTCCCCCCGAAGCGGGGCCTTCAGATGAGGCCCCAGCCTCCGCGGACACCTCGACCAGTCCTGTGATAGCCTGGATGAGAGGACCCGACTCGGCCACAGAAGCTAAGATAATAAATCTCTTGCGAGCCACTAGATGAGGGGAAATTTGTTACGCAGCAATTGTTAACAGCCTTGCTTCGCCTGCCTGTGTCACTCCTGCCCTGGGAGGGGACAGAGGTTCCTCAGGAAACAGATTCTGCCTTTGCTCTAGAGCACAAGGAGTGCACCGGTGTCTGTCGCACCTGGAAACCCCTCAAAACCACACTCAAGGTCCCTGGAGGGCAGGCCACGTGCCCTAGCGTGGCTTGGTGTTCCCAAAGGGCAGTGCCCACGCAGGACCAGGTCCAGGGCCCCTCCCCGGGGCAGACCCAGCCCAGTCTGGGCCCCCACAAAGTTGCCAGGACTGGTCCATGGCGAACCTGCCACTGGCTAAACGCCTAAGTGGTTACTCCTGCCTGATGACCATCCCTGCCCTGCCTGTTAACAATGTACCTGTGGCCCCGAATGAGGTCCTCTGCCACCGCCAGACGTCACCGAGCAAGTGGCATTCCCACTGTCCTTTAATCCTTAGAACCAGCCAATGAGGTAGACTCTATTATCCTGGTTTTATAGACAGAGACACGAAGCCCCGTCACACAACTGAAGGGTCCGAGCTGGGGCTGGGTGGCGGGCCTGCGTTCCTCACCCCACACGAAGTGCCTGGCGTGCAGGCTGGGCGGCCCCAGGGCACCGTCCAGGCAGTGCCCTCGTCGGGACGGCAGCTCCCAAGGCTCCTGGTGCCAGCACCTGGAGTCCTTGCTTCCTGCCCATCTACACGAGGGACTGTGTTCAAATAAATTGTACATGCACCTTTTTAAGGTATTTTACTAAAGAAAATAATGGTTCTTTTAAAAGCATAGAACAGTTGACATCATCTTAAGTTAAAGCTGTGGGTTGGGAGTTTTTACCCTCTGACACATCACTCAGCAATTAAGAATTTCTTCTCTTCCTTCTCAGCCGGAGTCCATGCCAGTGGACGTGTAAAGCGCTAAATCTTCCAGCTCGTGACCAATGGCACAGGCCCCGCTGGCCAGTGCGGGCCCCCGGCGAGCACACAAGCAGCAGCAGGAAGGTCGGGCCTCGCTGGTCCCAAGAGTCCCGCAGCTCTGGATGAGAAACGACACACGCCGGCGAGTGACTGCCCCCTTGGGGCCTCGGTCCCATGGCTCCGCACCATGGAGGCTGCTGCGCCCAGCGGGCACGCACTTACCTGCATCTCTGAAGTGTGAGTTCTACAAAGTGGCCAAAGTCCAATGCAAGGCTGCACGTGAAAAAGCAAAGAAAACAGCAGTGACAAGACAAAAACCCAAAATAAATACCCCCTGAGATTCTTACACACAAAGGTAAAACGCAGCCTAACGATCAAAACGCGTGCTCCCCGCACCCGCACGCGCCATGGCCAGCCTTGGCTGCAGGAGGGTAGCGCGCACGCGGCTTCGTGAGGCGCCAGCCGCCGGCCGCATGCGGTGACGTAACTTCACCCAGCAGGCCTCTCAGGTTTGCCAACGTGGGAAAAAAGGGAGAGAAGACCCTGTAAGCTCTGCAGTCATCAGAACTGATGACTTGGGTCCAGGAAGCCCGAAGTGCAGCCTTGGGGTCCAGGCTGTTGACTCACCTCAGGGGCTCATCACCGTGGTCCTACCAAAGGGATGAAAGTGTCAGCGACTTGATGGCTGAGTTGCTGAGAAAGAGCGACCAGCGGTCAGGCTCTTGGTGAGCCAGCGAGAAACGAGAATGGCTTCGCAATACGTGAGAGCCCTGGGTGGGGGCGGTCGGACGGCAGCCCTGGTAAGCGGGCCACAACCATCCGCACACGGGGAGACAGGAGCACGGCTCCCCCTGGGGACGGAGAGCGCCATCAGCCTGGAACTGCAAAGATTCATCATGCCGGACAAACGTAATTCAGTTCCGACACTTCCCACCTCGGTGGCCCAGAGTCAAGAGTAAAGACAACTCAATCCCGGCCTACTGGTTATTTGTAAGGCACACGGAAAATACTTGATTATGTTAACAACATTAAAAGGCAAGCACAGAAGCCTGAAGATTGGTTTCCTTGCGTCTTAATAGGCTTCCAAGAATTTAAATGCGAAGCAAAACCTACCAGGTAGAGCAGTCTTCTAGAACCCGAGTGGCATCATGCCCCTGCTCCAGGCCACCCCGGGGAACCACCTCCGGGAGGAAAGGCCAAGCTCACCCTGCAGCCGGCCCGACCTCCCTCACGGGCTCCCGCCAGCCCAGACCCCTCGCGCTGGTTTAGGGGCCCGCACCCACCCTCCCCACAGAGCGGTCAGTCCTCCCCCGGGCCTCCAGGCCTCGCCCTCCTACAGCATCAGCCCCAAGTCCAGACCCTCACACCGAGACCGGCTCTCCTCGGGTGGACCGCCCGGTCCCCGCCGTGCACGCACACGCACACGCACCGGCACACGAGGGGGCCTGCCGCCAGACACCCGTTGGCAGCAGCGGGCGGGGAGGGGAGGACAGCGTCCTGGCCACGGTGGTCCTGCGTTGGGTCAGGGACCCCACGCCCCGGCCCTGCCCTCCGGAACCCCCTTTCCGGGAGAGGCCTGCCCGCCGCTGCGTAGCTTTCTCAGCCCCGGCTGTCCTTTTCAGTCCAAACTGGCAGCTTGTCACAATAATTGCAAAAGCCTCCGAGTCTCCTGTGAACCTTACTGGGGCTTGTTTGACAAAAGCCACATGCACAGGTCTCCTCAAAACAAGCCCTGCCCTGTCTTGGGCTCCTGCAGAGGGACCAGGTCCCACATTTCTCGCAAGTCCCACCGTTGGATGGCAGCACTCCAAGGCGACCTTGAAAAGCTGTCTGGCCTCAGCCTTGACCGCAGACCATGTCCTGGCTGCCCCCGACCTCGCCTCTGCTCAGAGGCCGTGTCTCAGCGTCTGCGAAGGCTGACACGACCGGGACCACCCAGGGCGGCTTCTGCACGTGGACTGGCCACGTCACCCGTCACCCCGGGGCGCCAGCGGCATGCAGCCGCGGCGCCTTCCGAGCCAACCGGAGTCCCACTCGGTCATGTCGCTCCCCATCTCCCCGCACCACACTGGCATGTGACACCCAGCCTCCCTGCTCCCTGCCCCCGCTGCCCGGCTCCCACCTGAGGGCCTGGCTGGCCGCCCACACACCAGCCCCTCACGGCCTCTGCACCTGCCGCCAAGTCTGGGGTGAGTGCTTGTCCCCAATAGCTGTCCCTGCCGAAATGCCACTACCAGGCATCTCTAACCACCTCTGTCCCACCACCCAGTGTCCCCCGCTCCCTTGCCCTTCACCCTGACACCTTCCTGTCTTCGGACCCATCCAGGCGGGAGTGCAGACTGAGGCACCGTTCCCTGCACATCCCCCGTGTCTGCTGGACTCTGCCTGCCGCAGCACGGGCTCACCGACGCCAGGTGGCCAGCATGGGCTTCTGCCATTTGGGAAGGCCTGGCACCAAGTTGCCTGAGCCCATCCCCGGCTGGAAGCGAGTTTTGAGGGGGTTCTTGGGGCCTGGGGTTGGTCCAACACCGGCTCTGCCCCGGGGCAGGGAAGGGCTGGCAAGCCGGCGCTGCTCCCAGGCCCGGGCGTTCTGGGTGAGCGCCAGGCACGTGCACAGAGCGTGCGCCCGCCCTGGCTAGAGCTCGACCCGCGAGGCGGGCGGGGGGGACAGACACGCGGGGCCGCCAGGCTGGGGCCGCCGCGCCGCCCTCCTCGTGTCATGTGCTGAGAACAGAGGTTGACCAGGGCCCTCAGGCAACCAGTCAGTGCATTGAAGGGTTTTATTCTTGCAATCTCATTCCATACAAAAGCAGTAAAAACGTAACAGCCCTAAATGAGAAGTTTACAATTGAATGTTTGAACAGAAAATCTGTATACATTATCATTTACAACAGTTTTACATGGCAAATTAACTGCATAAAAAATGTTCTTCCTGAATCCCTCTGCTGCCTCAACTCTTGGAGTATTACCAGAAGACGACCTACCTCACGCTATTCACAAGTACCCAACTGAGACTGTGTAACTCAGTAAAACCGACTGCTTTCGTGCTGACTGCTCAGTGCTGTGTGTGGGGTGGCGCCGCCTCGATGTCTGACGAGAGAAGCTCCTGCACGGGTGCGGAGGGGCCTGAGGACAAGGATGCCCGACGGACACCCGCACCAGAGGCTGATGCCAGGCCGGCCCGGTCCCGGACGCTCTCAGCCCCATACCAGCCGCCTGGGAGGCGGCCGCCGCAGGCCAGAGGCTCAGGCAGAAGGACAGCCCGGCACGCGCGTCCGGCACACAGGCGACGGTGGTGGGGGCCGAGCAGTCGGCCTCTTGTAAGGCTGCATCAGGGTCGGTTTTCATTGGACTTAGTTCCATTTATGCTTTAAAACATGCAAAATACACTCACTATACATAAAATTGTTTCTTAAGAAAATAAGGCAAGAAAAACAATTCACCAGAAGGTAGCTATCGACAGGAGCCGCCGCACGAAGAGCGCACGACGCGAGCTTGGCTGGCCCTGCACCTGGCCAGGCAGGCAACTTGCTGTCCGTGGCCGCCCCCGGCACCGGTTAGCTCATGGCCGAGAAGTCTTTCAAGGGCTCAGTTAAACAGGCTTCCAGGTCAAACTCGTCCTCCAGCTGGCAGTCCACGTGTCTGACTTTGGTGGGAGTGCCTGAGTACGCGTCCTGGAACAGAGGCAGGAGTCACGGCCAGCTCTGCACGGGGCCGGCGTCGGTGCGTGAGCCCCACCCGGGGCGGGGCCGCCTCCCGTGGCCACAGCACTCCAGGCCTACGGCCGGGCACTACAAGCAAAGCCTGCAGCTGCCGCAGTGCGCGAGGGGGAGCTCGAAGCAACGGCTAACAGAGTCACTAACGTCTATCACAACTGGATGTGTCAAGTTCCTACCCAACAACCACCCCTCCTACCCCCGGCAGAGCAGAATCCCAGCGGGAGCGGGAGGCACAGGAGCTGCTGCGTGGGCTCGGTGTCGGCTGTCCCGACTCCTGAGGCAGTCCCAGCACCGCGGGGCGTCCGCTCCCGGGCGGGGGGGAAGGGCTGCCTCGGCTCCAGCAAGGGGGCCGAGGGCAGCCCCGTCCCAAGCCCACGCCGCTCCGAGCACGGAGGCGACTCTGGACCCCACACAAGTGCCGGAGTCACGCGGGAGCAGGAGGACCAGCTCCGCCACACAGCAGGCACCACACGGACAGTCTCAGGAACACAGCGCGAGCGCCAGGGGCCGGACCGCACGGTGACCTCCAGCCGCGTTGGGCAGGCTCCCGGTCACTTTAACCAACAGGCTTTCCCTGTTTCATTAAAAAGTTTAACTAAAAGGTCATACATTCAAATAAAGTTGTTAGAGATTATAATTTAAGGAGTTAAAATCAGCCGAAGCCTAATGTTTATACCAACTAATACCAGAATTTTGAATGACTATATTTTTCTTAAAGACAGTATCATGAGAAAAAGGCTGGGAGATTATCCTAAGATAAAGATAATTTAAACATGCGCTTTTTAATTAAATTCTGAATAAAAAATGAAAGACCTGTAAAAACATTGTATTGGGACACCTGAGGCGCCTGGACGTCGCCGATACGTCCCCTGAGCAGCCACACAGCACCGCGGGGACACGGTGTTCCGCGGCGAGGCCCCGCCCCCCACAGCTTACTTTCCAAGTCACCGCGCACAGCAGTCGGCTCCCGGGCGGCCAGCCACCCAGTCCAGCCATCGCGGAGCCAGCTCTCCCGGGCGCCCCCGGGGTCTCCGCGCAGGCCCCCTGCACACGCCTGCGCAGCCTCCACACCCCGCCCCCAGGGCCTGCCCCGCTCTTCCTGGAGATGAGGCGGCTCAGCATCCAAGCCGAGGACCCCGCCTGCTGCGAGCTCTGCCTTTCCGGGAGCGCCCTGCAGTGAACTGCCCTGCTTCCGCTTCCCTCCACAGCTTCCCCATGTCCCTCGCCTTCAAACACAATCTCTGCCAGCGGCACCCCTCCCGAGGGGACCTAGGCGGGCCCTTCCTCTCCTGCCGGGCCGCCCTGTCCCTTCTAGCCGCAGGCCCACTGTCAGCCCCAGAGCGTGGGGCACCCTCGGCCTCACAGGCACCGGCCAGCTCGTCAGGGTGAGTGGGGAGGGGCAGGAAGATCTTGCTCACAGCTCCTGAGCCGTGTGCACTCAGTCCAGGAGGACCTCACAGGAAGGTGGACATTGCGCAAGGGGCACCTGGACTTCCCAGTCCCTACTGTTTCGACACTCACTGTGCTGCGCAGCCCCACGTGCAGACACGAGGCGGCCCCCTTGTGAAGATGGTGAAGGGACCAGCCTTTCACTAGGGACTGCTGACGTGGGTTTGTTCGGACACGTGCAGAAAAGTCTGCAAGAGCCCTGGCGGGGGAGCTCAGGCCCATACGCCAAGGTTGTGGGTTCGATCCCCATTCAGGACACACTCAAGAAGCAACCAATGATGCACACTAAGGGGAATGCTGAAGCAGTGTTTCTCGCTCTCTCCCTCTGTAATCCATTTTTTAAAAAAGTCTGCACTCAACGAGTAACTGGAATTAGAGATGCAATTTCTTTTCATTGCTTTTAATTTGGAATATTTTTCCCCTCAAAAACAAGGGACTTTTTAAATCGGCAGATGCAGGGGAAACGCCCAGGCACAAAGCGCTGCCCTGCTCAGCAGCCGGCCAGCCACCAACGCAGGTGGCCTTCCACTCCTCAGTGGACACAGAGTCAGCAGGACCGAACCACAAGCCTAAGATAAGGCCACGGCCTAGGAACGCCATTGAAACACTCGGATGGTTACCAGCGAGGGGGGAGGGGTACGGAGCCCCTTTCTCATAAGCATCAAACTGCAGCGGAAACTGCCGTTTTCAAAGGGCGTATGTGGCCAACCAATGACCCAAAACACCCGGCTGAGACAAGGCCAAGGGGAGGCACTTACGAAGCTGTTGTCCTCAGAGCTCGCCAGGGACTCGGAACTGCCTTCTGTGGATTCGGTCTCCATCTGCCCGAGGTCCACCGGACGCCTGCGACATCAAACAGACATCAGCCCCGCTGAATGAAGCCAGGAGACGCGGACAAGGGGCGCTTCCCCAAGTCTGTTCGCTAAAAACCACACTGCCCCGTGACACCCACGCTCTGGGGTGGGCTGGCTGCGCCCACCCAGGCCACCCAGCCAGGCAGGGGCGGCTTTCTCGCCCGCAGAGGGCTGGGTTCGCCCACCAGGGCCCCTGTAAGTGGGCGCCCCAATACTGAGCCTGGTCAGTATTTTCTGGTCCAATTTTTTACTCACACAGAGAATGAGACAATGTTGTTAAACTAGCAAAAAAACCAGTATGACATCTGTGAGGCCAAATTTGTAAAGTCACGTTAGAAATCGTTTCAAACATGACAGTTTCTAATAAATTTCCCCAGCAAAAAGAAAAATTCAAGAAACCGGAAAGGGAAGGTGCCAGACCAAACTGTGCCTCCCTGTTCAAGCCACAAGTTTAAAAACCAATAGGGAAAAGATAAAAACCTTCCCTAAATTTTAACTCAACGTAAATTACTCAAATAGTTCTTAGAACGTTTATCTTGAAAGCACGTAATAGGGCCCTGGCCAGGCCGCTCAGCCGGTCAGAGCGCTGTCCCAGCGCACCAAGGGCACAGGCGCGACCCAGCCCACGGCTGCACGGACAGGCGGGGCAGCAGGTCCATGTTCCTCCCTTCCCTCCTCTCTCTCAAAACCCAATCAATTCAAATAAATAGATAATAAGTAAATAATGAATCAATCAATCAAACCCCACTTATTTGCAGGTTTTGACAACTAAAGTCTAGGCTCTATTTTGACAACTGGCTGCCACGATATGATGCCTGCCTGCCGCACAGCTGACAGGGATTTCAGCCCGGGCGGGGGCTGCAGAACAGAGGGCAAGAGGCACGAGGAGCCCTGACCGGTGTGGCTCCATGGCTGGGTGTGGTACTGCAAACTGAAAGGTCGCTGGTTTGATACCCAGTCATGGCACGTTCCTGGGTGGTGGGTTTGGTCCCCAGTCAGGACACGTACAAGAGGCAACTGATCGATGTTTCCCCCTCCCTCCCTTCCCCTCTCTAAAAAACAAACAAAATCTTTAACCAATAAAAGGCAACAAGACATACATTTCTTGAAAATCACATCCTTCTTCTGCTGGAGGGTCCCAGAAATGCAGGGCCACCTTCCAGAGCTTGATCTGCTGGTCCCAGGAGCGCCGACTGTACTTCTTGAACTTGTTGGGAGTCTTGGGGTGAATGCCAGGTTGCCGGAGGTGCCTGCGGGAGAGAAAGGGTGTCCTGGCCACAGCCTGAAGATTAACCCAACTCAGTGATTTGCACTATTAAAAAATTATAGGTTGAGCTGTGGCTCAGGGAATTGAGGGCTCATCTGCGAACCAAAGGATTGCCAGTTAGGTCCCCAGTCGGGGCACAGGCCTGGGTCCGGCCAGGTCCCCAGTGGGGGGCGCACCAGAGGCAACCATACTTGGATGTTTCCCTCCCCCTCTCTAAAAGTAAATAAAATCTTTTAAAGAAATTACAGATCAACATTCTACAAAATGAGCCAAGTAATGGCAAAAAGCACCACTCCTGACTGTACTGCCCCCTCTGCAACCTGCGCCCCGAAAGGCGTGTCCGAACCCCAGCCTCTGGAGGAGGTGACGCGCTGTCTAGGGCAGTGTGTCCCTGAGGAGCAGGGAGCAGGAGCTGCCTGGACACACGGGCACTGCCCCCGGCCCTCAGGGAGACATGCAACGTGAATGTCACCTCTTCCCCGTAGTGCTTTTAAGGACTCCGGGTTTGTAAGGCAGATGTGAATCCTCAGAAGGAACCTGTTTATCAAACAGTCTCAGTGGCCAACGCAATTTTTAAAACTCCCTGCCCTTGGGTTCTGCACCGCCAGCGCCCCCGGACACAGCAGGCAGCTCTGGCCCAGAGTAAGATGCACTGCCCGGGTGTCCCCGCCGACGGCAGCGCCCGGTGTGGCCGGGGCGCACCCCTGCGACCGCCCTACCTCGGGACCTCTCTGATGTAGCGGTCGTAGGCCATGGTGTTCTTCCCGTAGTTGATCTGCTTCTGCCTCCGCATCAGGACGCTCTCGTCCGTCTCCAGGTCGGCCGGCAGCGAGGACGGAGCCGCCTTCGAATCGCAACTGGAGAGGGTGAAATTAACACCAGGACAAGCCTCACAACTAAGGTCGCAGTGCAAGGAAGTGCAGAAACACCGTTAACACAGGGGCCTTTGTCCTCTGGGTTCCAAAGCCAATGACCCCGGGACAGTCCAGAACCTTTGTGTGCACGGGAATTAGGTCCATACAGACACTGGGTTGGCCAAAAGGTTTATTTGGTTTTTTCACATGATAGCTCTAATAGAGTTTAATTGTGTTAACTTTATTAGAAACAATTTTGTTATTGTATTGTGACACCTGTCGTATCTGAGCATATGTTAAAAAAGTAACAAAACTGGTGAATTTCTGTGCAGCCATTTTAATATTGAAGACAGAGAAAAATAAGTAATGTCTTGACATATTAAGCTTTATAATTTCAAGAAAAGTAAAAACACACTGAATGCAAAAAAAGATTTATGCAGTGTATGGAGAAGGCGCTGTGACCGAGCGAACGTGTCACAAGTGCTCTGCAGGGTTTCTTGGTCCTGCTGACACTTTGGCCAAACAGCCCTTTGCTGTGGGGCCGTCTCATGCACTGGGAGGTGTTCAGCAGCGCCCGGGCCCCCACCCACTCTGAGAAAACAGATGCAGAGCCGACACACTTGAAATACCCAAATCGCTACTGTCACTGATGAAAATGAACGTCTTAAATTTTATGGAAAACACTAAAAGGACTTTTTGGCCAACCCAGTACAACGTTCCCAACTAACGAAGAACGGACTCGTTGACAAACGCCATCAACACAACCCGCAACCTGCTGGCCACCGTCCTCCGTCGTTGGCACGACACAGGTCCGTCCAGTCAGAACAGCACCAGCACGGCACTCACCTTCCCAGCGACGGCTTTCTCTCTCTTCCAAAGTCGTTTATGAGGAGTTTTCTTTTATACCTGGAAGCCAAATAAAGGCCGCTGCTATTAAGGTGTGAAAACTGACACCTGACGCTTCTAGCGCAACCCCGGAGCACGCGCGCGGCTGTGGGCTGGCGGCCGCAGCAGGCACGGCCTGCCCTGTCGCTTGTCACTTCAATGTCCTTCAGTCCCTTTCTTTTACGAGAAGATAAAAGCACGTGAAGCTCGCAGCTCTGAGAGAAACCGGCCGCACCGAGGCCCAGACGGGGGGCACGCAAGCTGAGGCCCGAGGAGCCCTAACACAGGGGCCCCTGGGCAGCACCGCAGGAGGCGAGCTGGTCCCTGGTGCCGGCAAGGTTGGGGGCCGCCGCTCTAAGAGGTCAGCTCCAGCGCCAAGATCCAAACAACAGAGAAATCTACACCCCCCGACACCTGCAGCCTTAACACACACACACAGACACACACACGCACAGCGGCTGGGACGAAGCGGCTTCTCTCCCCCACCACAACTACCCGCTGCAGGGACCTGTGCGACCTGGGAAAGAGGCTGCCGAGCCCCCACTCCCGCCCCCCGCGGTCGCGCTCCCTGTGGCTCCCCGGGGTAGCCACAGCAATGACCCAAACCCCCTGCCAGTGACACCGCGACCACTTCAAGCAACAGGTCAGGCACGTGTCTCAGGTGTCGCATGTCGTGGTGCCTCCTTCCACAAGCACACGCCACCCCTCCCAAGCCCTGGGGCGGAGCGCGGACACGGCAGGGGCCAGGACAGGCGGCAGACAGACAGAACCCCGCCCGGGCACGTGGTGGTCAGAAACACAGGGCCCACGTCGGCCGACCCTCAGGCCCCTCGCTCTGCCACCCACACACACCCCCGGGCCCCGCGTACTGGTGCCTTTCCTGTGAGGCAGCTGCCAAGGCCACCCGCCCACTCCCCCTGCTGATGCCAAGGCCACATGTTCGCCTCAGATTCAAGAACCAATGCGCCCCTGGTTCCATGAACTGCAACTCATTACAGGCTACAATGCCGTCATTCTAGGTTCGTTCGGCCAGGTCGGATGCCGTATGCTTGTGGGGAGAAAGGCCCCCAACACCGGGAAGAACCTCACCGAGGGAGGGGAGCAGGGGTTAGAGAGGCATCATCTGGGCCGTCACAAGTACAGGAAGAAGACACAGCTCAGAGTATGGGAGAATCTGGGGTACAACTGCAAGGAGTTCAGGCTGCAAGTCAGGGAGCCACCCAAGCTCTGGCCACTGCGGGCTGTTCTCTGCACCAGATGTAAGTCAGGGCTCCACGCTCTCTCCGCAGAGGGCACCTCCCGTGCCTGCGGTCTGGCTGCATCACAGTGGTCCTCTGCCATGCAGCCGAGGTCCGCAGGGACGGCCACCGAGACAGTGGTCCTCCAACCTCAGGGCGCCGACTCCTCCAGAAGCCACACCTGGAATTGCCCTGCCAGCAGGCCCGGGGCGTGGGGCACCCTGAGAACCCATGTTTCTGCCAAGTTCCCAGGAGCTGCTGACGTTGCTGAGCTGCAACCAGACGTGTAAGGACCGCCGCTCTAGCACCAACCTCGTTTGGATGTATGACTTAACCACCGCAGACAACACTGCAAAGCTGTCTGGAACGCATACCTTGCAATTTCTTTGTTCACTCTGGTCCTCATTTCATCTTCTTCCACAGCACTTGCCCAATCCGAGCATCTGGACCGGGGCTTCGGGCCTTCAGGAGTGGTGAAGCTGCAAAAAAAGGAAAATGCACCCCAGACCTCAACACGCTGCCAGCGTCCTTTCACACACGACGCCAAGACATGGCCCCAGAATGTCTGGGGAGTGTCAAGAGAAGGAGCTCTGGACTCTCCACCCAACCCCCGGGCTCACTGAGCTGGAGCCGCTCCGTGCCTCTCGGCTTCGGTCGCTGACCTTTTCCTATGCACCCACCATGGGCCGGCACGAGCCACGTCGTGAGGACAAAGTCCAGAGGGGAGGCTGACAGAGTCGGCAAGGCCCCATCTGTACCGAGCAGGGGCCGAAGACAACACGTTCTTCTCTTCACAAAACAAAAAAGTTCGTTTTTCTCGGGACCTTAAAGATCTCACGTAACACACTCAACGCTAAACAGAGTGACCAGCACCATGAAGTGAGTCAACAAACTTGTAAGCGCACAGTTAACGAGCCAAAATGCAGCGCGTCACAGGTGAAATCGGCGGGTGGGGGAGGGCAAGAACACACTCAGCCCACGGGAAAGGCGGCCCCCAGGGCTGGGCCCCAGGGCATCCAGGGCTCCACCGAGACCTCGAGGAAACTGTTAGCCAAGATTAGGCAACTTGAAAACACAAGGCTTGATGCTCAGAATTCCGCCGTTAGAGTTGCCGGTTAGATGTGAACTTCCATTTTTCTATTTCCTCCTCCGCTTCCTGCTGGCTGCCCCTGGTGCGGCAAACCTGACTGGCTTCGACCTCCACGCGAGCCGTCCTGACGCCCCAGACGCCAGCCGACGAGCCGCTTCGGAAGCGCAGTAACAAGGGATTCATCCCTTTACAAAGCTACCATTTCTCCCCGGGGTTACCCCTCCCAGAGAAACCCAAACTGGATTTCTAGAAGTAACTTTCCAGAGTCTAAATACGGTTGGCAGGGAAACGGTTGGCATTAATTGGGAAATCCAATTAATGAACCGAAAGTTACACCGACTCGGTGACTGAGTCACGGGTGCAGAGACCCAGACGCCGGCAACCCCACTGGCCGGCCCGGCTCAGGCCTGGTCTGGTCTCCCGGCCACGACAGACTCCAGAACTTCTGAAGGAGGTTGGCAAACGATCTTCTCATCTGTCTCCCTCTTGGTGACGCGAGACTTCCTTCCGTGGAACTGAAACTCACCTCTTAGGTGAGGCACCCCCGGCCCTACCCTCCGACAGGAGCACTTCAGGGAAAGCGCCCCGGGGGAGGCAAGGCCGGTGCTCCCCGCCGAGCCGCCTGCCCCCTGCAGGCGGCACAGCGCGCCGGGGCCGCGAAGGCAGCTCTAAGCAGAGCGAGCGGCAGGGGAACAAGAGAAACGGCAGGAACCTTCCTATGACAGAGGAAGAGGAAGAGGAAGAAGGCCCGTGTGGCCAGTGGGTGAGCAAACGGGTGCCTGCGGGGACACAACACCTCTCGCCGCCACCTGAGGGGGAGCCCACGGGCCGTGGGAAGGCTCGGAGCTGGATCGCAGCGGTGACGTCGGCGGTCTCCCCGCCCGGCCCCGGGCTGTGCCGTCCGTCCGATTCCGCCGCTTCGGGGCCGGACGCCGTCCCAGCTCTAGGAGCCGCCTCGCCGCCCCCCCCCCCCCCCCGCCGCCACCCCCGCCTCGGAGCCTCCCGCCGCCAGGCTCCGACCCGAGCGTCCCAGCGCCACCTGCCCACCGGCCCCCGCCCCAGGCCCGGTCCGGCCGGGCCGACGACAGAGGGGCTCGGCCCCGAGGTCCCTCTGCGCCCCCCACGTCACGGACGTGCACCCCAGTCCCGCCTCCAGCCTCGCTGGCGCCCTGGCTCCTCTGCTCGTCTCCCCGCGCCCACTCCGCGCGCGGCCGCACCCGCTGGCAGGACAAAGGCCTCCGCGCCCGCAGGCCCCGGCGCCGGGCCGCTCCCAGGGACCTGCCGCAGGCGGTCCGCGCGCCGCACACCGCGCCCCGGGCCGGCCACCGCCAGCGGGGCAGGGGCGCGACAGAAGCGGAACCTCGCTCGGCACGGGGCCCCGACCTCGCTCCGGCGCGCCGCCCGGCCCAGGAAACAGGCCGAGGCCGCAGAAGGCCCCCGGGTGAGGCAGCCGCCGGCCGCCGCCTCGCCGGCTCCGACCCGACACCTCCCGAGGCTGGGCCTGCCCAGCGGCCCGGAACACAAAGGGGCGGCCGCCGGCTGAGGGGCTGACACCGTCCACGGGGCCGCGCAATCACGCCGGGGGGCCCCGGCGCCCGCGCCAAGAGGGCGGGTGACACACTGCCGCCCCAACCAGCCCGCCGCCCGCGCGCCCTGCCCCGAGCGCGCGCAGGACTCACCTGTCGGGTCTGCGGTCGCCCGCCGGCTTCGCGAGGCCCTCGGCGTCCTCGGCCGCCCCGTGCGGGCCGTCGGCTCTGCGCTTGCGCCCGAGGCTCCATCTCGCGGGGGGCGGCGGGCTGCGGGCGAGAGGCCGTGTCAGGGCGGGCGGCCCGGGCCGCGACCCCCGCCGCCCCGCACCTCCTCCCGGCCCGCCCGCGGCGCGCGGCCCGGCCTCACCTGGCGTCGCGGTCACAGCGGCTCCGGTACCTGGGGGGGCTTCGCGGGCTGCAGGCCATATCCGGGAAGCAGCTGCCGGCGCGTCCTCTCCCGCGGCGCAAACACACTGTGCGCCCCGCCCCCAACCGCCTTTATCCGCCCTGCCCCGCCCCGCGACGCGCCGACCCGCGCCCGGCTGGGCGAGACCATTGGGCCCGCGGGGGGAGCCCGCTCGGACGCGCGCCGCGCAGGCGGCCTAAGACCGCGGGAGACACTAGGCCGCCGCCCAGACGCTGCCGGCGGCAGGCGGGCCGACTCCGTGGGGCTGACTGAGCACCCGACCGAGGAACGGTCGCCCCCCGGCGTGGAGGCGCCCGGGGCCCTCGGGCGCTGATTGGACGCTCCTTCGCGGGCGGGGAGGGGCACTGGCGGGAGATTCGGGAGCTTGCGACGCAGACGCGAGCGCGGAGGCGAGCGGGGAGGCCCTTCGATTGGTCTGGGCCCAGGCAGGGCCCCTCTCCGATTGGCCCACCCGGTGGCCGCCTTCCCCGCACTGGCGGGAACGGAAACCCGGAAGGGGCGGCAGCTGGGACGCGCGCAAAGCCCGTGTTTATCCATCCCGTCTGCGGAAACTCGGGAGCCGCGACAGCTGCCGGCGCCGCGCTTCGTCGAATTCCGCCGTCGAGCACGGCTCCCTCGACGGCTTCCAGCGCCGCCTCCCGCGCTCACCCCGCCCGCACCCTATCCAGCAGCGAGCCCTGGCCACTGAGAAGGCTTTAAGCCGAAAGGGGCCCCAAATTTTGGACGCAGAAAACTCGAGCCTTTTAATTTTTTATTCATTGAATTTTAGAGAAGCATTGATTTGTTGTTCCACTTATTTATGAATTCATGCTTTCTATATGCCCTGACTAGGGATGGACCCCGCATTCCTGGTGAATCCGGACGACGCTCTCACCAGCTGAGCCCCCGACCACGGCTCTGTTGGTTTTCAATGGCTTACTTATACCCCTTTCCTAAAAATGTTCCGGGTCCAGCATCCAGAGTGTTGGGGAGCTCGCCCCCTCCCACTCCCGGGCCTGGGCAGCAGGCCCCGGCGGCCCTCCTGGGACCCCCAGGGGACCGCGAGAGCACTGAGGGAGCCTGGACCAGCAGGGCCTGTGCCCCTGGGCCACTGGTGTCCCAGACTGACCTCAGCCCCTGGGGGTTCCTGGCCACCACCCCTTCCACCAGAACTCGGGGCCCAGAACCACTGGGCCTGCTCCCATAGGTGCTCTGGAAATGGGCTTATGAGACCTGCACCACAGCCAGGAAATCAGAGGGGGAGGTTCCCAGAGTGCCTGCCTCCCCTGTCTCCCTTCTTTTGAACACAACCCCCCACCCTGAAGTCGACACAATGCTGCCATTTTTAAGGTGGCTTCTCCCCACCTGTTACCAAAGCTTGAATATCAGGAAAAGCAAAATCCACTCAGAGAAAAAGTGTGTTTACCTTGAGGCTAACGTTTTATTGAATACTATGTCACTTAGCTACAACAGACTTATCTTTATAAAACTAGGTAACTTCCTTCTGTAGTAAACCCGGCCCCTGCCCCCCGCCCCGGGCAGCACCTTAAACTCCGGGTGGAGGCCGGGAGTGGCTCCTGGGCATCCCTCTAATACCTTCACCTGCCGGGCACCCCCAGGGCCCACAAATCCTCCACTTCCAAATCCCGGGGGTAGCTGGGTCCATCGCCTCTGCTTAAAGTGGCCAGTTTTAGGGGGGGCTTAAGGTCCACGAGTTTGAGGGCTCCAGCAGCCATGTGGTCCGAGCTGGGCCCTGGCACTGCCCTCCCCCCACCACCTGCACTGCCAGGGACTGGTGAGACACCGACCAGTGCCTTGACCACTGGGCATATGTCCCCTTCTGATCGAGGTGGGCCCTGTGGGCTGTGGCCAGTCCTGTGCTGCATCCTGACAAGTTTGTGTGGATGCAGGATGTCACTGTGGCACTTGGTCTTCAGTTCAGTGCCTCTCTGGCCAGGAGCCGGAGGCTCGGCTCGGCCCTGGGCTCGGAGGCAGCAGAAGGCATATAGACAATGGCCCTCCAAAGGCTGAGTGGCCCTAGGAGCACACAGCCAAGGGACCGGCGCCTGAACACAGCCAGGCCTTGCCTAGCCCACCAGGAAGCCCAAGGTCCCCGTGGGCAGGGGGAAGTAGGGGCCCCTTCACCCAGGAGCAGCCACCAGGGCGCCCCAGGTGGCGCTGTCGCAGGTGGTGATGCCCTAGGTCTCCCCTCTACTGCCAGGTTCTGCCCAGGTCCTCAGAGCAACCTCCGGGGGCCAGCAGCCAGCGTGGGGACAGGCGCCGGGGGCCGACCACAGCCCGTCTCGGACGAACCTGCGTCGCTTGTAACCAAGGGGTGGTGTGCTCCATAAAATTAAGGCAAGTGGCCCAGGTCAGGGCCATCTGGGACAGACCCCAGGGCCGCCCAAAGACAGCTCCAGGGGTGCGACACCCTGGGGACGGCCCCCGCCATCCCGCATCCCCCACCCCCAGAGGAGCGGCAATGAAGGCAGCAGGGCCCAGAAGACCCACCCCACCGCCCACACTCCGGCGAGATCTTCCTTTCTAACAATAAAGCCCTCGTCCTCCTGCAGCCAGGTGAGGGGCCCTGGGCCCGGGGGCCTGGCTGCTCCCCGAGGCAGCAGTGGGGGCCCCGGCCGGGCTGGCAGGGGGCTCCCTCGCCCGGGCCCAGCCAACTCAGCGCACGGCGCACACGTCCAGGATGCAGAAGCGCGCACGGCAGGTGGGGCAGGGCACACGGCTGGCCAGCCAGGTGTCAGGGCGCTGCGGGTCCTGGCGGCTGGCAAACCACTTGCCCATGCAGGTGAGACACCACATGGGGCGGCAGTAGCACTGCTGGCACTCTCCCTCGGCCGCCTCCTGGCAGGTCTTCACCAGCTTCACGCCGGCTCGCGTCTGCATGCAGCCGATGCACGCCTCCAGCTCCTGCGGGCGGCACACGGAGGTCAGAGACTGCTGGACTCCCCCAAGGTCCCCCGCTTCCACCCCAGGGACCTGGCCCGTGGGGGCCCAGCAGTGGGAACCCGCCCGCCACCCTGCCACCCCTGCCCCCGCCCCCCCACCTGGCTGCTGGGGACCGAGTAGACCGGGTTGACCTCCACCAGGGAAGCGAACGTCTCCAGGAACAGGTCGCCCAGACTCTGGCGGATGACCACGTGGGCTGCTCTGCGGACGGGCGCCCGGAGCTTCTCACACAGCTCACCATACTCCGTGGAGTTCAGCCTGCACACGGGGGGCTGCTGAGCTGAGGCTGCTGGACCCAGGCCCCTCCACAGGGCCGGACCCTGTTCCCCGGCAGCCTGGCAAGGACCCTGGGACAGGCATGTGGGTGGCCAAGGCTGCACCATGCAGGTGACCAGCGTGCCCACAGACAAAGTATGGAGGCTCAGGCACAGCCCGGCTGCCCAGGGAAAACCCACCAGCAAAGATGGCCGTGAGGCCGGAGCCCACAGACCCAGCACCGCCTGGTCACCCCCATGGGACACAGGGCTGGGGGGTTGCAGCTGGGACACAGAGCCCAACCCTTGGCAGATTCAGGAACAAGGCGTGGCCCAGCAGGCCAGCTGTGGCCGGAACAGGATGGGGGGAACCTGGCTCCAGCCTAAGCCTCCAAGGTGAGGCAGCCACCAATCCTCTGTCCCGTCCAGCCCCCAAAGGTCACAGTGTGTTCCCAAGAAAGTGCAGAAGGCAGCTCAGGGGACATAGTATGGACAAAGGAGGAGTGGGGGGGACCCGTGGGGCACGAAGGGGACAGAAGGCCAGGGCAGAGGCCTGGGGTGGGTGACAGGGCCCACCCCCCTACGAAGGTCGTCCTGGAGGGGCCACTCGCACCCATCACTGCCCCCCAGAGGAACACAAAGACCAAAGACCGGAACGTCTGTGGAGCACAGGCCCTGCCCCACCACCGGCCCACCCGCCGCGGGCCCTCCTACCGGATGTCGAAGGCCTGCACTGCAGGGTTGCTGCTGGCCACACGGATGGTGAGGAGCTGCACGGGCAAGTTCGAGTCTGGCGAGAGCTCGTGCTGCTGAGACGCCGTCACGGTCAGGTGCACATCCTGCTGCTGGGCCACGTGTACACGGTACGTGGTCACCTTCATCACCCACGTGTCTGTCACGATCACGCGGGCACCCGGGGCCCCTGTGGCAAACTTGTCGATCCTCCGGAACTCAGTGTTGACAGAGGAAGCGACGTCCTGCCAGCCCGAGTGCAGGAGGGCGTAGAGGGCGAGGGTGCGGGCCAGCGGGTGGTGGGCCCACCCGTCCCTGTGCCAGCAGTAGATCAGGGCGCCGGCGGAGGCGGGCAGGAGCACCGCCAGCAGGAAGAAGAGCCGCCAGGCCTCTGGGGCCTGGGCTGGGGAGAGGAGCTGCTTTTCCGAGGCCGCAAAGCACATGCCCACATAGTAGCCTGCAAAGGATAGGGCGGCCTCAGTAGCGGTCAGCCAGCCAGGCCCTCGTCCTCCCCGGTGGTGCCCACTGAGGCCGCAGTGCTGTTCCTGCACCTCGCAGGGGGCCATCTCCTCTCATCCCCAGCCCTAGGCCTGGCCCTCTGCCCTGGTCAGAGCCCAGGCCCGGTGGGTCTCAGCCACCTCCACAGCTGGCCCGGCTCAGCCCTTGCCCATAGCAGTGATGCCATAGGCGGGAGAAAAGCATTTTTAAGTTGCCCCTCTGGTTTTACACGTGTGAATACTGGAAAAACTACCAAAATCTAGAAACGGCAAAAATACATGCAATGTGTGGTGTCACCCAATACAGAGCGGCCTGGTGGCCCTCCCCTGGGCCTCCTGACACCACCCCCTCTGAGGAGGCAGATCAGTGTGGTCCACCCTGGCTGCGATGCCACGTGCCGGGGGGAAGCAAAGAAGGGCGGGGGCGGGCCCCAGGGACCCGGGAGCCGGCGCGGGGCCCACTTCGGGCCGGGCCGGGCCTGCCGGTTTGCAGGCTGAAACGAAGGAAGGAGACAGTGCGGGCTGCGCTGGCAGGCCTGAGATTCCAGGGTTCACAGTCAACACTTGCTGTGGTCAAGCCACTGCAAAATCTGTTGTGTTAAAATAGATGCTATGCCCATTAAGTTACAAAGCTTTTCAAAACAAACGGGAAAAGAAAAAGAATTAAAAAACACAGACCCTGTGTCTGGCCACAGGATAGGCAACATTTTGACAGTTGTCAGACGGGAGGGGGTTGGGGGAAAAGATGTAGGGCTTAAAACAAATTGGCGGTTTTGGCCCTGGTCAGCGGGGCTCACTGGGTTGGGCATCATCCTGAAAAACAGGGTTGTGGGTTCAGTCTCCGGTTGGGGCGCATGAGAGGCAACCAATAGATGTCTCTCTCTCACATCGATGTTTCTCTCCCCTAGTTCTGCATCCCTTCCCCTCTCTCTAAAAATCAATAAATAAAACCTTAAAAATAAATAAATAGAACTGGTAGTTACAGAATACTTAGGGGAGCCCTGGGCAGGTGGCTCCATTTGTTGGAGCGTCACCTCATACAGCAGAAAGTGGAAGGCTTCATTCCCTGTCAGGGCACATGCCCAGTTAGTTCAATCCCCAGTTAGGGTGTGAATGGGAGGCAACAGATCAATGTTTCTCTCTCACATCAATGTTTTCTCTAAGAATCAATAAACATTCTCCAGTGAGAATTTAAAAAAAAAAGAAAAGAAAAGGAACCTAAAGCACACAGCAGGGGGAACCTAGTCAGCAACATTGTGTCCACGAGGGGTGCCTGGCGCTGGCCTTGCACAGTAATCACGCCTGAGGACTATAAAGGTCTGAGCGCTGGGTTGCGCACCTGAAACTAATACTGCACATCAACTGTAACTAAAAAATAGAAAGCTCTTAAGACCGGCCCCACCAACTCCTCCAGGTGCGGGCTCCCGGGAGTCCTGGTTCCCCCAGGCAGCCCCCATGCACTTCCCGCCTGGGGTGGCGGCGCCCTGGCTGCTCTCCCCACCCACCCGAGCGGCCGCTTCCGGCTGCCAGCTGGAAGCCCCTCCCTGTGTCCACAGGGCTGCAGGGGCGGTGGCCGGCCACCACCCACCTGCTGTCTCAAGCCTGCTTCCGCTCCCACGTCCCCCGGAGATCCCCTGCCCGCACCCCACTCTCCAGCCAGTCCCCCGACCAATCGGCCGGCAGACTTGCCCCTCAGAAGCCCACCAGCACGGCGGTCGCTGCCCAGCACGGCCCCTGGGCAAGGTCTGAGCAGCCTGGCCACACACAGCCTTTCCAGTCTCTCCACCTGACACCTCCGAGGTGGTGTCACCCATGTCTGCCGGCTCTTCCCACACCAGCCTCCCAAGGCCTGCTCCAAGGGCACCTCCTCAGTCGGTTGGAATGAGTTAACTTACGCCCCTCTCCTGGGAACTGCCGCCCACATGACAGTTCGCGACCTGCTGTCGAGGGTGCGGGCCAGCTGGGCGAAGCATCATCCCCTCTCCCTCGGGCTCTGAGCCTGCGTTTCTGCCTCCTGCAAACGACCAGCTGCCGCCAGCAGGGAACGCAGGGGCGGCTGGCCCCAGCCTCGGCTCTCGGGGGGACCGGGGATCCCGGACCCCTCCCTCGACTCTTCCCCACAGAGAGTGGTCTCTGGGGCCCCAAAGCTCCGCCGCGAAGCCCGGCTTGGCCGCCCACTTCCGCCCAGCAGATGGGGACACCGGCCAGCAGAGTGGGGGGCCTCACCCAGGGGCAGCAGGGAGTGGCAAAACAGCGTGGCGGCTGAGCGGCGCTGATGGTAGGGCACGAAGGCGGCGTCCTCGCTGCCCAGCCAGCCCGACAGCAAGTTCTGCACCGTGAGCCCCGCCGAGTGGAACTCGGTGGGCGTGAACACGAAGCACACAGCGAACACCAGATAGGCCAGAGTGAAGGTGACCTCGGGGCTATCCATCGTGCCGCCGCCGCCGCCCTCGGCGCGGAGAACAGGCCCCACAGTCCTGGTCCGCTTGGCGCCGATCCGGCGCGGGGTGCCCCGGGAGATGGAGTCCCTCCACGGGCCGGCGAGAGGCATTCTGGGAGGTGCAGTCCCCGCGAAGCACTCCGGGAAATGGAGTTCCCGCACCCTGGACACAGCTCCAAATCGTGAGTTGCCCCTCCAGTCTTCACGAGGGTTTGGCTCCTCAAGACCAGCCTTGAAGGCGGTGCTACCCCGGTCCCATTTTACAACTGGGGAAGCTCAGACCCGGGCAAGCGGCCCTCCGGCCCCAGCCTCTCCGCGCAGCACAGTCGCGCCGGAACAGAGCCCGAGATCCCCGCTAGGCGGAGAGCTCCGCACACAGCCCGTCCGCGAGCAGCCCTCCCCCTTCACGTGCTCTGCAAGACACAGCTCTCGAAACTTCCGGCTCCGGCCGCGGCCGCCGCGCCCCTCAGGCCGGAAGCACACCCTCCGGCTCGCTGGAGGGGCGTGGCTAGCCGGCACGACCTTGTATTGGCTGCTGGCTCCCCGTGCTCCCTGGCCGCGCGCTGATTGGCTGTCCGCGCCAAACGTCGGTATTTGAATCGGTGGCGGGCGGACTGACTCCGGGACTCGGCGCCTCCCGCTCTATCCTCGATTACGCGCGGCGGCCGACAGGTAAGGCGGCGGACTCCCGGGCTCGGGCCTCCCTCCCAGTCTCTGGCTCCTCCGGCGGCAGGTGGGCGCCGCCCGACGTCCGTCCCTATCGCGAGCTGCCCTTCCCCGTGGCTCCTCCTCGGTGGCTGCCGCCGGCACCGCCCCACGTCCCCGAGCCCGCCGAGGGTCTGGCCGCCAGCCTCCCTGGCTCCTCCGTCTTCTCGGCCGTCCTCCATGACGGTTCGTCCGTCGGACGCGGTCCGCGGGCATCCCCCTTTTTCCCCCGGGACCTCGCCCAAGCTCAACCTCGGCACGTAGCTGCTACTGGCAAGGGCAAGTCTCCGCCCCGCCCCCTGCCGACGCCCCCGGACCCGCCTCCTTATTCGGGGGCGGCCTCAGCTGGAAGCCCTACCCCATCACTGGCTCCAGCTGCCCCGCCGCGACACCTGGGCTGGCGGCCTCCGCTCGCGAGCCCCTCCCATGGTTTCCGTCGCTGCAGGAGCCAAGCCTCACGGCAGCCACCAGCCCTGTGCTGACCTCTCCCCAAGCAGGGGGCTGCAGGAAGGGGCCCCTGCCCCGTTTTACCTAGTTGCCCAGGCCAGAAACCCGAGTCACCCTGGACTTGTCTTTCCTGCTTCTACACTGAGCGGAGTGGCCCGCTGGCCGAGCCATGGCTGGCCCCTGTTCCCACTGCTGGAGGAGCTGCCTACTGCCCACTCCCAGCCCCCACGTCTTCCAAGGCATCTTGTTGCGCACACCCCAACCTTTCTTCCCAGGCCACCCTTGCTCCCCCACCCCGGCCACCCTAGCCTTGCCCTTCCAGCCACAGCGCCCAGGGCCCCTACCACCTGCAAGTACCCTGGTGCCACCAACCTGCCCCCCCCCCCACTCGCCAGGACGCCAATGCCCAGTGCTCTGGCAGCTTCTAGATTGGGGATGTCATATCGGCCACCATCCCTAGGACTGTGGGAAGGAAGAGTATGCTGCTCTAGAACCTTCTGGGCCTGACTGGAGGCCCCTGGTGTTTCTCAGACAGGCCCTGATGTAGAAGTTCCCCAACTCCCCACCCTCCACCCTCCAGCCGCCCTGCCGGGTCCAGCCCACGCCATTCTATTCTCCGGCAGCTTTCCCACTTCCTGCAGCCAAGGCCTGGGGGGCAGGGAGGGGCCAGGCTTCCTCTGCCTCCTCCGATTTTCTTCCAGGCCAGCGCTCACCTGCCTGCTGGCTTCCACCTGCAGAGGTTTTGAGGGAGAGCCCAGTCCTTCCTCCTCACTGAAAGCTCTTCTAACTCTTGGTCCGGGGTAGTGGAGGCTCCCCAGTCCCGCTGGAAAGTCCCTGTCCCCTGCAGTAGGACAGGGCCTGCCTGGCAGAGGACACTGCCCAAGGCGCGCCCCTCCCTGCAGGGGCGGCTCTTGCTGTCACTCTGCTCTTCCGGGCACAGTGGCACAGACTGTCTGCATCCCCAGGATGAGTGTGCTGATCGTCAGTGACGAAAATGCGGCTGGTGACAAAAGAACAGAAAACTGCGACTTCCTGTTTTCCCCGCCGGAACTCAGCGGGAGGTCGCCTGTCCTCCGGCCGTCACAGAGAGAAAACGTGCTGCCCAGGAGCACCGCCCGGGCTATGAAGGTGAGGGCACTGTGCCCGTGGGAGCGTGGTCCTCTGTCACCTCCGGCTGCCCCGGGAGCTGCCTTCCCGGAGACCAGATGGAGCTGGCAGGGCCGCGCAGGGCGTGGCCGGGGGGGGGGGGGTGGAGACGAATTACCGAACAGGTGCCGTCCTCCTTCCTCCCCGACAGGTGACCTTCCAGACGCCTCTGCGGGATCCACAGACACACAGGATTTTAAGTCCTAGTGTGAGCGGCAAACTTGACCCTTGTTTTGCTCTGGGTGACAACATTGGATTAGAAAACTCTCACCAAGTCTGGACCCAGAAAGAGAAGTGAGTGCCGGTGCTCTGGACGTCCTGCACTTTGCAGCTTCCCTGACAGGCCTGGCCGGACCGTTGGTTTCGCTCGGTCGCCCCGGTTGGGTTTCTTCTGGCCGCTGCTCTGAGTCTGTGCCGTGTGAGGCCCAGGGCACGTGGCATCACCTTTTGTTTCTCTCCCTATCTTTCCTTCTCTCTCTATAGGTAAATTTAAAAAATTTTTTCAACTTTTTCTTTAAAAAAGTTTTTAATTGATTCTAGAGCAAGGGAAAGAGAAGGAGAAAAACAGTGATGTGAGAGAGAAATAGTGATTAGTTGCCTCTTGCACCCCAACTGGGGACCTGGCCTGCAACCCAGACATGTGCCCCAACCGGGATTCGAACTGGTGACCTTTTCCTCTGTGGGGCGAGGCCCAACCCACTGAGCCACACCAGCCAGGGTTAAAAGTTGGTTTTTCTTCTAAAGAGACTTCAGAGGTACAGAGAAAGGCATTTGAGCAAAACACCACTAGCGTACCCTTCCTCCACCTGCTGTGAAACATCCCAGGGCTGTGTTCCCGCGTCCCTTGCAAAGCTTCTCAAACCTGGTTTCCTTGTTATTTCTCACCTTCACTTTGTAGTTTTATTTTTGAAATTCAGCTGAAAGATTAGAGTGACTCAAATACTGTTCTCTTATAACAACCCCAAGAAAGAAGGGAAACTTGGTTGCTCAGATGGTATCTCCTGGCTTAGGGACCTGACCTGCTTCAAAGGCCCCAAAGCAGAGATGCTGGGGGCCGGGAGCCCGCCGCTGCGCGGCAGCAGAGGGCAGCCTTCTAGCCCCGCCTGCCCCTCAGTGTGAAACTGGCCCTTGCAGGCCCTGGCTGTCCCAACTGCGTGGCGAGAGGTTCCAACTGGAAGGGGCGGTGGGCTGGCACCGAACACCTTGCCTTCGCTCACTCGTCTCTCTGTGGCCTGTGTGTCTGCCAGCGGTGACTTAGGGGAACACACACTCCTGAAAGCTCACCCTGAGGACGGGTCACTGAACACCCTTTTTTTCCGTCTTTAGTTCACGTTTCAGTGTAGACGAAAGTCCACGTACAAAGCCAGCGGGTTCCTTAGCGTTAACTGAGTGCGTTTCTGAAAGCCAACTGTTCACCAAGGAAGCCGACGCCAACACGGCAGATGCAGCGGATAGAACCCCGCAGCGCCCAGCGGTGGCAGACGCCCACATGCCCCCAGAGGGCGTGAGACCGGCCTCCGAGGACAGGCCCACCTCCGCCCCCCAGACGACCCCGGGCTGTCCTCAGGGCCCTGTGAGTCTTGGGAACCAGATGGCATCTCCACAGGGTGCACCTCGCAGCCCGGGGCAAGGCTCGGAGGGAGACGCCGGCTCTCACTCCCTGGAGAAAACCATCACACCTACCTTCGAAGTTCTAGAAGATCCCGCCAGGATCACATCCCCGCACAGAACAGAAGACCCTCACGGAACCACGGGAAGAAGCTTGAACGAACCCCTTGCTTCCTCGGCTAAGGCCACTTTGCTCCCTGGGGCTCACCCTGAAGTGGCCCTGGGAGAAGACCCCCTTGCAGACCTGCCTGGGGCCCCAGCCAGCCCTGAGGACACCTCTGGTCCTGAGGACACCGCCCTGGCGGGCCCTCTGCAGGCTGGAGGGGCCACGGCCCTGAGTCCTCGGAAGGAAGAGGCCAGTGGCCACGCAACCGACTCTTTAAGGAATGGGCCCGTAAGGCTAGAGTTTGACTTTTCTGATGATGCCCCCGGCAGAAGGCCACCTCCACCAAGGAAGCTGGGGAAGAGACCGGAGGCGCAGCAGGAGAAGGCCCCCACGGAGGCAGACTGGGGTCCCGTTCCTCCTCAGGGCTCCTACGACCTGGACTGGGACAAGCTGGGGGACCCAGCCTTCAGCCCGTTCGGCGGTGGTGGAGAGGCCTGGCCCCCGGAGTGTCCCCAGGGCAGGCCGGCGGGGCCCGCGACCTCAGGGGACTCCCCTCCCAGCCAGTGAGTGGGGAGCGCTGTGGGGGTGGGTGCTCCACCATGCACACGGGAGGCCCTGGGGCCACAGGCGCCACCTGCTCGCTCGCCCAAGAAGGGGCCCCAGGGTGGGGGCCCTCGTGAAAGAGCAGGGCCGCGCCCGGCTGGGGCCCCTCTGCCGACAGGCGCCTGGAGGAGGAAACGGCGGTGGCTCCCAGGGCTTCAGGGCTGTCGGCGGCTGTGCGCGCCATCCCGAGGCGCGAGTCCCGGTGTGCGCGGCCCCCACGCCACTCGCTCCTTACGCTGGCGCCCGGCGCGCACGCTGGGACGCAGGGCCCTGACCGCCCCACCACCCCCAGTCCTGCCTGACTCGGCCCAGGGGAGCTGCCCGCCCCCCACTCAGCTTCTTGATCAGTTTTCTGGTAAAAAGGACCAAAGACTCTCAGGGTTGCCGTCCATTGAGCTGAGGAGCCCCCAGAGCTCCCTCCTGCTTCGAGTCCCTCTTAACGGCTCGGGCGCTCGTGTGGGGGAAGATGGCCGGGCTTTGCCTGGCTTTCTAGGAGAGGGTGCACGGGGCAGGGGCGGCTCAGTGCCTGGGGTGGGGCGCAGGCCGCGCTGACCTTGTCTCTCAAGGCAGGTGCCTCCAGCCTCAGCAGAGGGCACCCTCGAGATGCGGACAGCGGCGGCGGGGTCCTTGGGAGCGCCAGGCAAGGTACCAAGTGTGCGCCCCAACGCGAGCACATCTGTGCACGGCCGTCACTTCTCGCAATTCTGATAAAGTGGGGGGAGGCCTGTGGTGCCGGACACACCCCTGCCCTTGTCCTGATGGGACTGGGTGAGGCCGAGTCCCCCTGGGACCCTTGGCTGTGCAAGACACTCGACCGAGCCCTGCAGGTAACCGTCGCCTTTCTTCCAGGAGGCCACCGTGACTGCCCCGGGGGCCGCGGCGCCCCCCTGCCCTCCAGGCCCCGAGCCCACGGCACCGCCCGCGAGCCCAGCGCCCCCTGCCCTGCAGGGCCTGGAGCCCGCCTCCGACCTGAGCGAGGAGCACTTCCGGGACCCGGCCGAGGGTGCGTTGTCCCTGGGCTGCCGCTGGTCATCTGCGAGCGCGTTGTGCGGGGCCGTGTGTGCGCCGCTCGGCTCCCTGGGGTCGGCGAGGCCCTCACGCAGGAGCCGGGCGCTGCTGGGCAGCTTCGGTGTGGGGACCCCCGGGGAAATGCCCACTCCAACCCCTCGTCCGTGGCGGGGCGCCTTTGGGTTGCTGGGTTCCACGCGTGTTCTAGATGGGGTCCCTGACCGGGCGTGCTGCTTGTCCTGTGGGCGGTCTTTTCACCTGGTGGACAGCGGAAGTCCAGGTGTGGACTTTGGAGTCCTCTTCTGTTTTCCTGCTGTTGTGGGCGGTTTTGGTGTTTAACCTAAGAAATCATTGCCAGAGCTCTGAAGATTCATCCTGTTCCTTCTGAGAACCTTCTCATTCTAGCCTCACAGTTAGGTTTTTGGCCCGTTTATTGATCTTTACATAGGGCACGCGGTGCCCTCAGGTCTTTAAGCAAAGGCTACGTCATCAGAAACCACTGGGCTTCACAGAGCTCGTTGTCAACAGCGGTTCTCCCCCAGGGCCACTTAGGCCCTGGGGGACGCGTTCGGTTGCCACACCGGACGGCTGCCCCCCAACACCCAGCAGTGCCCCGCACGGCCCGACCCCGGGGTCTGGCTCCGAGCGCCAGTCGGGTCGTGTGAGGCCAGACACCCGATTGAAAGCCAAGGGCCCAGGGCTCTGGCCCGCGGGTCTGCGGGCCGGGTGGTGGCCGCTCCGCGTTGGCCCCGTCGGCGTGCCGGAGCCCTGGCGCGGTGCGGCAGCTGCGAGGCTGGCCCGTGTGCCGCTGAGGCAGCGCTGTCTGCTGCGTGGGGGCGGGGCGGCACTGACTGGCTCCCCTCAGTCCTAGGCCCGGGGGCCGACGTGGACTACCTCGCGCAGTTCGGGACGTCCCTGGTGAGTGCCGGCACCTGCCACAGCCTTCGTGGGGGGCGGTGTCTCAAGGAGGGACTGTCCCCAGAGCAGCCTGTGCCGCTGTCACACCGGCAGCCCGGAGGGTCCCCGGCCCGAAGGTCGGGCCGTGCTGGGGCCGGCCCCGCGGAGGCCTGGGTGTGCGCTGGTCTCCCGGGCCCCTGGCCGCTCCGCGCACTGGGTTGTTGCCCTCAGGGCAACGGGGACCCCTGACGTGCCCACCCCCTTCAGTTTAAGGAGTCAGCCCTGAGGAAGCAGTCCTTGTACCTCAAGTTTGACCCGCTCCTGAAGGACAGCCCGCAAAGACCGGCCCCCGAGGCCCCCGAGACGGGCAGGTACGCTGCGGGGGCCCGGGGATCGAGGCGTCCAGGCCAAGGGGCCATCAGGGCTCAGCTCTGAGCGGCAGGCTCTGTGCTGACGCCCTTTAGGGGCAGAGGGCGGTGCCACCTCACGTGTGACTGGGAACAGGAAGAGGCGGGCTGGCGACAGGCGGCTGGGGAGCAGGATGGCCAGGCCGGTGGCGCGGGTCAGCCCGCCCGCCCACCCCCGGCTCCCCGGGGCCCCCCGGGCTCCCCCCGGGCTCCCCCCGGGCTCCCCCCGCTCCCCCCGCTCCCCACCCCCGGCTCGCGCTGCCTTCCCGCACGCATCCGCCCGGCGGCTCGCACTCCAGGGTGGTAGGGGCGCCAGGCGCAACAGGCTGTGTGGCCCACAAGTTCTGAAACGCTGGCTTTGGCCTTGGGGGAGCCTGGGCAGACCCTGCCCTGGAGGAAAACAGGCACAAACCTCTCTTCCAGTTCCAGTGCGCAGGCCGCCGACGCGCTGCCCTCGGGAAGCCCGCCTGAGGCCAGGCTGCTGGACCTCGACTTCCCAGGAGCCCCGGACCTGCCTGTGAGTGCGTCAGCCCTCGCCCTGCAGAGGCGTGTGGCTGGGGGGCCGGGTGTTCCTGTTGGGACCGAGGGCTCGGAGTTCAGTGGGCTGGGGGCCCTGGGGCCGCCTCTCGCCTCTGGTCACTGCAGGGCTGTCCTGGAGCCTCCCGCCTGCGAGAGGGCAGGGCTGGATGCGAGAGGGGCCTGGGGCCCAGCTGCTCTGTCGCCCCCCCAGGTGCTGGGCCCCCCTCCATGTGTCCTCGGGCCCGGGGCGCCCATCGTGGACGTGCTGCAGTACAGCCAGCGGGACCTGGATGCGGCGGTGAGGCGCGGCAAGAGGGGGTGGCGGGGGCAGGACCCGCGGGCCCGCTGTGCAGCCCCCGCCTGTCTAGCCAACGCAGCCAAAGGGTGTGGCTTGTGCAGGTGGAGGCGGCACAGAGGGAGACCCTGCAGCTGAGGAGCCAGTGCCAGGAGCTGCAGGAGAAGAACCTGGAGATGGGGTGAGGCCGGCAGGGCGGGGGGCTGGGGTCCCCGGGGAGGCCACCGCGGCGGCCACCGCGGCGCTCACGCCGGCCCGCTCCCCCGCAGGAAGGTCATGGACGGGTTCGAGAGCATCGTCTACCAGGCAATGGGTAAGCGTGGGCTCATGCCTCTTTAGCAGCTCCCGCCTCGGCACCCTCGGGTTTCGGGGACCCCGGTGTTGAGGACACGGCCCCCAGGCCCTGCTCCGGGAGAGCAGGGCGGGGAGGGGCCTGGTCCCGTCCCCCGCCGGACCCTGCCTACCGCGGGGGCTGCCCCCCAACCCCATGCGCTCCCCTCCAACCCCATGCGCTCCCCTCTTTTCAAGAGGAGGCTCAGAAACAGAAGGAACTTGCCAAAGCTGAGATTCAAAAGGTTCTGAAAGAGAAAGAGCAGCTGGCCGCGGACCTGAGCTCCATGGAGAAGTCCTTCTCCGACCTCTTCAAGCGGTTCGAGAAGCAGAAGGAGGTGATCGAGGGCTACCGCACGGTAGGTGGGGCTGCGCGCCCCCCGCGGTGCGTCCTGGTGTGTCCTGGTGTGTCCTGGTCAGCGACCAAGCTGGGCTGCCCTGTGCCCCCCGCCTTGGCTCGGCTTATGCCCACGCCCACCGGGCTGGAGCCCGCCCTCCCCCCACCCCCTGGGCCCTTCAGCTCAGCGCCCGGCCGAGCACCAGGCTGCGAGGCCAGGCGCCCCAGGGGGCAGGGGGGTGCTGTCTTTCTGGGGAGGCCCAGGCGCATGAGCAGAGGAACTGGAGGCAGAACCGCAGGGGTCAAGGGGGTGCCCTGGTGACAGTGGGCACCAAAGAGCCGGCTGCTGCCTCTGGAGCGGGGCTGGGGCCCAGGCCGACCTCCGTGACACCTGCAGGCATCACACAGAAGGCTGCCGGGCAGGGGACAGCTCTGGGGCCAGGCAGGTGGCCCGCAGGCGGTGACAGCAGCCAGAAGAGTCGGGGGTTGGGCCTGGTGTTCCCGGGCGGGGAGGCCTGGGCCGCGTGTGGAGGGGCCTTTCCTGAGAGCAAACCAGGACGTGCCGTTTCCCTGGGGCTGCCTCGCCCGAGCCTCTGGGACCCCGGGCCGTCGCCCAGAGCGGCGGCCTGTCGGCAGTGACGCCCCTCACTCCCTCAAGAACGAGGAGTCCCTGAAGAAGTGTGTTGAGGACTACATCGCCAGAATCGAGAAGGAGGGCCAGCGGTACCAAGCGCTGAAGGCCCACGCAGAGGAGAAACTGCGGCTGTGAGTCTGGGGACACTGTGGGGTGCGGGGCCGGGGCCGGGGCCGGGGCTCAGCCACCCGTGCACGTGCAGGGCCAGCGAGGAGATCGCCCAGGTCCGGAGCAAGGCGCAGGCGGAGGCCCTGGCCTTCCAGGCGAGCCTGAGGAAGGAGCAGATGCGGGTGCACTCGCTGGAGAAGGCCGTGGAGCAGAAGGTGGGGCCGGGCGCGGGCGCGGCAACCCCCACCCCGCGTGGGGGCTGCGGGCTCCGGGACTCGCGTCGGGGGCCCTGCTGCCACGTCTGCGCACGGGGAGATCCAGGGCCTGGTGTTTCTCCCTCAGACTAAAGAGAATGACGAACTGACCCGCATCTGCGATGACCTCATTTCCAAGATGGAGAAGATCTGATGACGGCCCCACTCCGCTCCTGTGGCCTCCTGTCTGTCGTCTGTCTGTCTGTCTGTCTGTCGGAAGTTTTCCTGTCCTTTCTTCTCTCCTCACCTGAGCTCGCTTTTAAACTAGATTGCTTTAAGAAGGCTAAATAAAGTTTCCCTTGAGTTTATCTTTCGCTGAGGTGGCCCTGTCTTGATTAAAACAAAGGTTTCCCGCTGTGGCTGAGTCCGCCCCGGCCGCGGCCGCCCGCACCTCGGAGCTGCCCGCAGGGCGGGCAGCCTGCTGGGCCAGCCTCCTGCCCCCAGACCCGCGTCCCACGGACTGACGTTTCCACGCACAACAGCCGACAGGCGGGTGGTCAGCCAGCGGCGCGTGGGAGGCCGCAGCCCGTGGATGGCGCCCTTGCGGAGCTGTGGCTGAGGGTTAACACCTGTGCCACCGTGTCCTGGCTGCTGCAGTGGCCTCGCCCGGTCCTGTGAGGGAGTCTGTCTGCCCCGTGGACTTTGGCTCCCCAGCTCAACCCTGTGACCTGAGCTGACTGCCCGGTGGGGCTCACAGGGGTCAGCTGGGTGCAGCAGCTGAGACGGGCCTCCTGGCCCCTCTCTGGCTGCAGAGTCCCAGCCAGAGCAGCTGCCTGCTGCTCCTGATGGGCTCAGGACGCGCCCCCGCCCCCGGCCCGGCCTGGCCTGCCCCAAGGAGCCTGCCCTCCACATTCCCTGGGCCCTGGGGGCGGGGCACAGAGGCGCTGCCTCTGTCTGCAGGGCGGCAGTGGGACCCCAGAACAGGCCAGGGGCGGGGAAGGCGGCCCCAGGAGCCCTTGTGAACAGGGCAGAGGCTGGGCCTGCAGGGGCCTCACGGGCCACAGGTGGGCAGGACTCGCTTACGCCTGGGCCCCCAGAGCTGGCCGGAGGGCAGGCCGGGCCCGAGTGCTGACCCATAGGCACAGGCGGGACGAAGGCTGCATGTCCCACCGTTTCCAGGTGAGGCTGGCGCTGCTGGGCCCCGGGAGCAGGCACAGATGCAGGGGTGAGCGCCCCAGCCGGGCCGAGGCGGCGCTGCGGCTCAGGCCTGGGGGAGGCCCACACAGGGCCACTTCCTCTCGCCAGCGGGGCTGAGGTCCTCACACAGGACCCTGGCGGGACCTGCCCAGGGAGACCTCCCCTGAGGGCTGGGTTCCAGCCTGAGGGTGGGAGGCAGCAACACTCCTGGCCACCACCAGGGGGCACTGCCAGCCCTGGGCGGTGGCTCTGGGTCACACCCCACCCAGCGGTGCCGTCCAGGCTGCGAAGCAGAACCCAGCAGGGCTCCGGCTGCGTGGTGGGTGTCCTGGGCCCCACGGGTGGAGGGCATATTTGTGCTCCACGTATGTCGAGGACAGAGGCCAGGCCGGGGGCAGGGACCCAGGAGCCACGCTTCCCGCTGCTTCCCACAGACCCCGGGGCTCAGCCCTGTCCTCTGCTCGTCCCTGGGGCAGCTCGTCTGGCCTTCTGCGACCCCCACCAGAGGGTCCTTCTATAACCGGTCACACACGTCCCTCCTGTGGTCAAGGGCAAACCTGCCAGGGTTCCCAGTGCCAGACACCAGGGCCAAGCCCTCAGGCCAGGCCAGCCGGACACTGCCCCAAGCTGCCACCTCTGTGCTCAAAGGCCACCCCTCAGAGGTGCTTCCCCTCGACCCAGACCGGCCGCGCCGGGGCTGGACGCCGGAGCCCCGCAGAGCGCCGCCCCCCAGCCGGCAGCAGCCCGGCCGCCCCCCTGGCCCTCCCAGCCCTCTCCGGTCCCCCCGGCCCCCCCGGCCCCCCGGCTCAGGGCTCTGACCCTCATGCTGCCGTCCCGCTCCGGGCACGGTGGTCAGTTTAAGGGAGGCACCCCCCGAAGGCACCCCCTAGAGCAGACGGGATGCCTTCAACTTTGTCAGGCCCAGGGCACTCGCGGCTGCAGGGGTGTGGGCACGCACGGGGGGCCCAAACCGGGCAAGAAGCCCCCAAGTCCTGCTACTCCAGCCGGGCTCCGGACCCCTCCTTGTCATGCCGGGCTCCCTCCCTCAACAGGCTGCATCCCCCAGCCCCAAACTGCACCCCCTCTGTGCCGCGCCCCCGTATCAGCCCCAGCACCCCTCACACCCTCCGCTCCCAGGCCCAGGGCCCCCATTACCTCGCGGCCGTCCATAGACACGAATGGGGTGCACCCCCCCGGGAGGAGCTCCGAGGCCGAGGGGCCTGCATAGGCGGCTGAGGCCCACGTCTCGGACAGGGGAGGGGCGCACGCAGCCGCCGGCTGGTGGGCGGCGGGCAGGGCGCCCGGGGGGGGCGGAGCGGGCGAGGGGCCGGCGAGGCCCACGGCCCCAGGGCTCAGAGGGCTGCCCGCAGCAGCGGCACGGGCCCTTGGCGCCCTGGGCGACCCCGCTGCGTCCGGCCGAGGGCAGGTGGCGGCACGGCCCCAGGGTCACTCCTGATGCTGCAGAGCCAGGGCTGCCCCGCCGGGGCCTGGAGGGCGCCCTCCTCGCCCAGCTCTGCCCATCTGGCCTCGCGGCCACTCTGAGAACTGCCCAGCGCCCTGTCCACCACTGGGGCCTCTGAACCAGGCCCCAGGACTCTGCCCGGAGAAGGCCCGGCAGGCCGGCCGGTGTGTCAAGGCCAGGGGCCGCGGGGCGTCGCCCTGGGCCGGGCGCCTCCCTGAGACAAAGGGGCCTTGTGCAGCCGAGCGGGTGTTTACCTGGAGCCTGAGTGAACGCAGGGCCGCGAGGCCGGGCGGGGGCCTTCCGTGGGTAAACACAGCCCGAGCCGGGCGCTCCGCGGCACGTCGGGGCTCCTGCGCCCCGCGTCCCACACGCCGGCACACCCGCCTCGCGGGCCTCCTGCCGGACGGGGCTCGGGGCGTGGGGAGCAGGGCGCTGTCTCGGGGCCGCCTCCGGGTCCCCATCGCCAAGCGGCGAGACCGTGGGCTGAGCCCCCAGGGGCTGCCTCCCAGGCTCCGGGCTCCCCACCGTCCTGGGGCACAGGAGGTGGGGCGTGGCCGCCCCCTGCTCCTGGTGCGCTGGGCCTCGGGGCAAGCCTTTGGGGACCTGGACCAAGGTCCTGCTGGCATGGCTGCGTGTCCGTGGGCCCCCACGTTCATCTGGTGAAGCCCCAGGCCAACAGGACGCGGCGGGGCGCTGTGGGGGCTGGATGAGGCCGTGAGGGGGGCCCCGAGAGCACTCGGGCCCTGGCGAGAGGGGCGTGCCACGCCCCCGCTCCCCGGGGGAGGACGGTGACAGGCCACAGGCGGACGCGCCCTCCCCGGACACTGACCGGGCCGCCGCCCGGAGCGCAGACGTGCCGCCCCCAGGGCTGCGCGAGAGAAACGCCTGCTGTCCGGCACAGCAGCGGGCGCCGCCGGAGACGGGCCCAGGGCGGAGGCTGCCCGGCCCCAGGCCGCCCGCTGCCCGCCTGCCCTTCCCGGGCGGCGCGCACAGGGGCCACAAGTGCCCCCGCGGAGAAGCCCGGGCCTGTGGCGCCGCTGGTCCCACAGCCCGAGAGCATCCATCTGGGGCTGAGCGCACGCAGGTGTGTCCTGCGCCGCCCTTCAGCCAGGTCCTCCCGGCCAGAGGCTGCCGGCCACAGGGCGCAGTCTCCACGGGGGCACTGCTGGGCTCGTGTCCCTTGTGTCCCCGTGCAGTATGTCCCTCTCGGGAAGCAGGGCATGCCCAGGGACCGCCGCCCACCCCTGTAGCCTCTGGGGCTGGAAAAGGCCGGAACGGTCCAGACTCAGCCCAGGCTCTTTGGGGGTGGGGTCAGGAACCGGTATGAGCACCTTCGCCCGGGCTCCGAGTGGCCTCCAGGCCCCAGACCCAGACCCTGGGACCCCTGTGTTCCCCTGGCCTCAGCCTTCTGACCCCCAGGTGTCCCCCCAAATTCTGAGGCCCCCAAGCTGCTAGGGCTGAGCTGGCTTTGCTGAGCTGGGAGGCCTGCAGAGGGCACCGACAAACCGGCTGGAGCCTCTGGCCCAGCAGCCACTGCCTCTGGAAGGACCGGCCGAGACTCCTGCTTGGGGTGGGGGCATCTCCCAGAAGCCCCCGCCGGAGAATCGAGGGGTGACCTCCACCCCAAGCTCGTGGAGGCCAGGGCCCAGGACCCAGGAGGAGCCACTGCCCGCTGAGGGTCTGGGCGAGCGTGGCGGCGGTTGGAGTCCGTGGCCAGGTCCAGCCCCTGCCCCCGGGCCCGCCCTCGTCCAGCAGTGTTCGAGGCCACCCTGGTGGGGAGGACGCGCGCCCTGGCCCCTTGAAGCACCCGCCGGGCAGGGGAGCGACGGGCACATGGCTCCCCTCCCGTACTTTCTCGGGGGTGCGCGGGACGCCTCCGAGAAACCCCGCTGCCGCCCCCGCCGGCCCCGGCCCCGGCCTCGGGCAGGACAGCTCACAGGCGTGTGAACAGGTGGGTGGGCGGCACCAGCAGCGCCCCCAGACCGCCCGGTCCAGGGCAAGGGGCGATGCTAGGGCGCCCTGCCCCCGCCGACAGCGGGTGGGGGGGGGGATGACAGAACAGGCGAGCGAGCGAGGCTGCGCCCGGCAGGCGGTGGCCCTGTCCCCGCTCCTGCATCCGCTTCCTTGTGTCCCAACGCCCACTCCCTGGCCCCACGGGCAACGGCAGGGCCCCCGCGGGGCTGGGCTCCCAGGGGCCGAGCCCCCTCTGCGGGGGGGGCCGACATGGGGCAGGTGGGACTGCAGGGAAGGGCTGCGTTTCTTCTTTTATCCTCAGCTGCAGACATGTATTTCCTTGCTTTTCAGAGAGGAAGGGAGTGTGAGAGGCCTCGGTCAACTGCCTCCGGGGCGCCCCGACCGGGATCGATCCGCTCCCAGGCCTGCGCCCTGACAGGAGTCGAACCCGCCGCCTTTCAGCTGCAGGGCGGCCCTCCCGCCCCTGAGCCACGCGGCCAGGGCGCTGTGTGTGTACTTCCGATGGGAGAGCGTGCGAGACAGTCCGCGGGAGCCGGCCCAGGACAAGGGCTCCTGTGTGTGGGCAGAGGGGCCGTCCAGGG